TGTATACGAAATCGAAAGGACAGACTCATTAAAATCTAAATTTATGAATGCCGAGCGCCAGTCAGGGACCAACAAATACCATATTTTAATGTCTTTTGGTATGAGGCAGCCGGGGATCGAACCCCCGAACTTCAACTCTCCGGGCGGATACTCTAACCATTACACTAAAGAGACAGTCTTTGATAATACGATTTCTTCCTTAATAACATATGTGTGTAATATGCCAGTCTGTGAAACAAGCTTCATATGGACTAAATCTTCGACTCTAGTAAAGAGGGGGTTACTATTTAGCCATAGACTGGCTGCTACAAAGTAGTTGTGGTCTGATTAATTGAAATAATCGAAGATTGGTCGCAATGACTAAACGACCAAGCAATCGATCATGTTTTCTCATAATCGAACACAAACAATTTTGGAACACTGGTTTGCTTTAACAATATTTTTCACAAGGTTGGTTTTGTCTGTTACATTTCATAAGCACTGCAAGCTAGTTCCAAATCAAGATTGAATTTATCTCAAAGACTCCAGGAAATTTATGTTCCTAACATGCTAGTCATCCTTTAAAGATGTAAAATTTGCAAAACACTCAAAAGAACTACATGTTTTGTCTTTATTTTTGGTGCGTTAACAAACTAACCAGGAAAATTTGATAAATGACGCTAACCAATTATTGTCGATAAGAAACATTTCCACAATAACAAGTGGTCGTAAAGCGGCTGATGGTCACTGTACAATTGACTTGTACATTGAAAACACACAAATCCATGAAACAAGAGTCCAGGAAAAATATCTGGATTATTCGCGAGTGGCGGGAGTCTGTTAGACTAACAACTAATCTCTGAAATGAACATATTTTACAGAAAAAAAAAGTTCATAATAAAAAACATAAACCATAATGAAAAGGAGCCCTGAGACTTTCTTCATTTTCAGACTGTGGAAAACTAGACTTGCCACATTTTCTAGACTTACAAGGGCTTTCTGGGATATATTTGTTCCAGGGTCTGTTTACGTCGCGATTAGGTTTCATCAAATCTGCCTTGCCCTCCCTGCAATGCTGAAGCCCTAAATGAAGCTAGTCTAGATTTCCTCAGGTTCGTGAATCTCCCATCTCCCCAAATTTAAATGGGTTTATTTTTTACTATCAATATTACATATGTTCAGAGATGAAATGTTGGTCAGTCATGCCTCTGAGAATAGGTTATTACAACTCTATAGGTTCAACCATAAATGTGTCTCCTTTTTTTTTTTCAAAACGTGTTCATCACGTCCAATTACACCAATCCTAGAAGTACTGTGTACACTGACAAGTTAACTCCCCTTCTCATATCTCTGTGTCATAAACACACGTGAAACGAGGGAATCTGATTGTTTTATCTCCACAGATTTGGTGATCCGTTTCAAACCGATTGTTACAAAAACTTCAAAAATCCAAATTCGTTTGAGAGCCTTGCTCATATCGGAAGTAGCTATGGCATCCGAAAGCGGAAGTCATATTCCAACAGTGCTCAGAATGCTGGGAATTAGAACGACGGCGATATGTATTGTCCGTATGTGAACTTTCTGCACTTCATCACACCGCTCCCTGTTTGCACCTGGTCACGTGGTCCCCTTTCATGACGTAATTTGCGTGATTGATCTAAAACCTTTACAAATGTCAAGATGATCGGAGGCAGATCTTCATTAGCCAATCCTACACATCTAACGAACATATTATTTTTAGTGATGTTTTAAGTGTTGACATATGATCGCTGAATCATAAAAAAGCATTTGCAGTTATGTGAGGGACCGGTCATTTAATTATATATGGGAGGGGTTGACTTGGGTTTTCCAGGTAATCACATTTTGGAAAAAACTCACCTTAACCCCAACTGCTTACTCTTCGGTGAACGACATTGTGTTGAATTATTCATCAATACAGTAATGTTTTGTTAAACTTTGCTCGCGCCTCTCTCGGACACCATTATCAAAACTACTACTGAATTTTAATAGCAGAAAACATTGATTTAAAATTGCTTGTTCGTATGGGTCGAAGTTAATTATTATTACCGAGTCAGCAAATTGTCTTCTATTCAGTTACCGAAGATTTAGTTCCCCGTAAATATGTGTCGTTTGCGTATAACAAACCAACGGTCAAATAGCATCACAAGCATGTCAAGCAAACGAACCAGTCCATTCCAAACTATCTGGTCCAATATCCTGTCGTCTGCTGAAGCACGTGCTGCACGAGCTTAGACGCGACGCAGACGATATCTCTTCACCTGAAGCGCTGTGGGAGATCTTACCTACTTCTAGCGCTTAGAAGACAGGGGTATCACTGTGAGAGACACAAGAGGGCGCTACATTTAGCAACATCTCAAGGCGTTCTTGGCGTACCTCGGTTTGAATAATGAAGGGAGCGGATGGCAGGACTCGGATCAGGCACATTGTACACTCAGATCAACGTTCTGCTACAAACATGGGTAACAAAACTATTTTGATGTATGACACATAGATGACTTGGTAATCTTGAATATGCTCTTAGATAACGTGTATCCGTCATCACTCTGTTATGTGTATTCCTCAAAAGTGTACAGTGCGATCTGGGTGAATGATATTAAATAATTACACTTCAATCATAAAGATAACTGCTGAAAGCTGAGTCCTTTGAAAGTGCTCGCAATATCACGAGCATGTAGTGATGTTTCACTATCAAATATTAATGATACCATATGTTCGCGAAAAGTTCACCGCAGTCATCCCTACCGGGTGCACGGAAACCACCGTTTAAATGCGTGTTTGTGGTAAAGTTGAACTGTCAAGGATATGTTGTTCACTACATACATACGTGAGGGTTATATGTAATCCTGTACCTATGGCGTTCCCTCGTCACACCAAACACCCGGGTTCGATTCCGCAAAATAAAACAATGTGAGAAGCCGATGTTTGGTGTCTCCTGCCATGATATATCAGAGGAACATTGTTAAAACCTTACTCACTCACTCTAATCGACTGCAACAGTTTACAACGCCAAACGTGACCGTTACTAACACCCTGCATGATTCATCGCATCTCCAGCCTTCCGTCCACCACAGGCTTAGCTCCAACCAACGCCTCGTTGCTAATGCCCGTCACTCGCCTCCTACATAAATCACACAAGCCATCTACTACCTGAGCTTGATTTACTGTTTTCTACATACCAGCGTAACGAGGCTGGCCAAGGCTCTAACAACCAGCTTCCTGTACTTCAATGTTAAATGGTATATGCGGGGAGGGGATATCACGTTCCCCTAATACTAATGTCAAAAATGTGGCTACATCACCTGTTAAAAGTTCACTGACATGTATGCATGTGTAAAAGCTCGCTGCTCGGGTTCATCTGCATTCCCATACGAAACAGCACTGGGGAAAACATATATCAAATTCCAGAACATACTGACTAGGTATGAATGGGCACGAATGGTCTTTAAGGTTTATTTATAAATATAAATATTATTTATATGTGATAAATCCAATGAATAATGCTCAATTTCATTTTCATGGCATGATGCCAGCTACGGTTGCCATGCAATTCTCTCACATTGAATGTCACCTTTCATAATAGACAATAATACTTACAGCAGTTCTCTCACACTTATCCTTAACACTACCTGGATATGGTTTTTTCGTTGTGTCAAAGTAGCGTTGTCACGTCCTGGCGTGTGAATGAATTGTGTATCATTACTTGACCTTTGGTAAGTCGAATCGGTTGTCTCAAACTCAAGCATAATCTTGCACAAAGTCAAACGCATAATATGTGAACCTACCGTGTGCATCATCGATGTCAAAATACAATCACTTGTACACAATATCGTCTCCATCTCCGGTCAGAATTGGTCACCGTGAAATCTGGTTAGTTCTCATTTCGTACATTACTTTGGAAATGTCACCTACAGACAATGTTAACAGACACGTCACAGTCCGGAATAATACGGTTGAGCCGTAGCTTCCACGAATGCGAGTAGTATGCGTCAGAGTGCCTTGAACCAGCCATGGTACACCACTCCCACAAGCAGCGCCCTCTACCGATGACACACAAAGGTAATGATGTTTGTCTGTTCCGTGCCTCTGTCTTACAATGCTGCACTGACAGAATCCAACACAAAAGCGGCCATCTCCATTCCTGTCTAGCCCATGCATAAATCATAACACTGCACTCTGATTTAAACCTGTACACTTTATCAATATATGTTATTTATAGAACCGCATTGCTAAATGGCTGCTCGGCTTTGCTAGTTACAATTGTTGAGACTGTCTGCAACGGTGTTGTTACCGAGCAGGACGGGGCTGCGAGTGACGCAACAGAGCATGGTGCGCATGAGGTGCTCGAGTTGAGCTACCCTCCTGGTAGTCCCCACTGCCCTTTGCTATTTCTAAAGTAGCAATTATCAAGGGCTGTTCTCTAATCCCGTTCCAGAAGCCTACAACGCTGAATCAATACACGGGCACCGGATGAACGGACAAGACTAAGATCCATAATGGTTTTCAATTCATAATGTCCTAGTTGGGCAAAGATTGAGATGATGACACGGCGTAATTATTAATTTATCAAGAATTAATCTTGGAATATCTCCCAGGACATACTACATACAATCATGGTTACCCTCATTTAATCTGTGGTCACTGGACATAACGAACCCCACAGGGCTTTCAAATCACTTCGCTATATAAGAAAATGGCTGTTATGTAAAGTACATTTCCATTCCTTTGAGATTAAGATTAGGTCCATAGAAGCCAATTTCATTATACTCCCAGTTTACGTTCTACAAACGTAATCGTTATACTTCCGGAAGGCAGAAGTGAAATACTGGCTCCTGATTTATTAATGAGGTTCAGCATGATTTAAAACTGTAATTAGTCACTCTGTGTATAGCTACAAAAGGAATCATCACAATCGTCCAATGACAGCTTCAAAAGACGTGCTTAGAAACATTCTGAAAAGAAAATGGCGACAAAGAGGACCGGAAATCGTCTGCTTTACTTACCAGTTCATTAGTAGCAGACGACGGTTGAAGCAGCAAAGGACCAGCTACTGAGCCCATACATGTGGTATCCTGAAACAACAGAGGCTTATCATTAGCATGCTTTAGTACATTTTTTTATAACTTCATTCATGTAGGCTGGATTAAATGTAAATTCAGGCACTCTATCCTCTGTAGAAAATGACCAAAATATGAAACGAGAAAAGCACGCGATAACAGGAATATAACCCAGACTGCTCTCAAAATACCATTAGCAAGTGCCTCGGAATGAATAACCATAACCACCATTATTCATATTCAGTATCCACATACAAATCTGTGTACGGCATTAACTAAGTATCCTCAAATAACATTTACCGCTTGTATTCGGCAGATGGACGGTATGCTTGATAAACGAGAATGCATTTGAAAAACAACTCCCTCAAGTGAAATAACACCGATATAGACACTAATGACATCTATTGACATAAATATTGTGCATATGCTACTTCCCTACAACTGACAGTAATCTAAGGCAACACAAGTGTGTCTGTGCATGCAAGTCGTATACCCAGCCCCACCAGGATGAGAAGTTTTTGTATAAACGGAATGATGTTTTACATCTGTCACTGCCTCTTCCATATATCCAAGCCAATAGAGGTATACGCTTCAAGCCAGCCACCTTTTAGGATATCGTTTAGAAGAAATCGGCTCAGGATAATACAAACGGACAAGGATAGCGCCTGGTGCTTATGCTGTGTCTGTTGCTATAAGAGAATGTTCAACCTTCGGGCTACTCATACGTGGTCTTGTCCCTGCCTGGGTACGATGTATAACACTTCCATTTGCAATTACTGTTTGTGTTTGTCATTTGAGGCCAAGGTTACCTTTAATTTCTATCAAACATCCATACGAAGTCTCTCGGTGCAAAAACGTTTGGCCTAGATTTTAATTCGCCATTAAAAGAGGCGTGGAAACAATGACTGCTTTTCAAAGGAAAACTACAAAGAATTCCAATGTTTTCTTCAAATGATTTCGGGTTCAACTGATACCAGTAATGCAATCAAAATGAATGGTATTTACATAAACAGGAACACGAAGGTAAACGGCGTGGTGTTGTTCACGGGAAATATTTCTGAACTCCAAATCAATACACAAATACTACTGGGCGATCCGATCGTGTTTGCCAATTTTCTAATGGCTCGCAGGGAGCTAGTGACATAACATAATTAATGCAGCACCACAGTTAAATATGAGATACATCCACACACGAGTGAAAGTGATTACCTTTGCATGTATGTGCATGCTTAGAAGCTGTCCCTTCAAAAGTGGGAGCTGATCAGCTTGAGATTCATTTGGCAGGTCGGACCCAACCGCCAATACAACAGCCAAGCCGTTTCAGCAAATTACGCGACTTTTTTCTGAAGTAATTTGCAATAAATGGTAAATTGATTATCAGATCATCGTAGATATTATTTGAAGCCCCTTCTATGTAAATAGCTACTGCTAGACAAGGCAATTGTTTTTAATCAGAATCTAAAGCGCGTGGTCCTGTTGTAGGGCCCTGTGTTGAGGGTAATTAACTAGAATGGGAAATGAATATTCATGAAGGCATTAAGAAGATGGTATCGTCCTACCTCTTGCTGTAAGGAAGATTCAGTTCGCAATGAGATCCCACTGAACCATATGATTACTGTCCCAGAATGCATTTTGCGGTTCCCTAATTGAGACGCAGGTCACACGGAATAGGCCTAAGGGTCAACAGAGCGCCTAAATAGGTAATATTGGTGTAATTGTACCTCCTTGAGAATTATTACAATCCGCAAATTAATTCTGGTTTTACATATTGCAAGTGAAATGTAGGTTATCGACATACTTTGGAAACCAGTATTGCTCAGCCAGAACATATATATATGTGAGTGCTAGTCTGTGCGTTAGTCTAATGTCAGAGCGAATGACAGGGCTAGATGTATGTTGAGGATTATATGTAGTCAGTATATATGCCTTTGTGAACACTGTAATACATAAAGATACTGTAAAGGTTTTGGAAGGTCTAACATTCTTTAGACCAGACATACTATTTCTATTCTACTGCATACAGAAAGTCAAATGACATTTACAAATTGAATTTAACTGATAAAATATTATCATTTCAGATTCTAAATGTTAGTCAGGTCCCAGAGCAAACACAGCTTTCAGAAACGGTCTCTGGTTCTGTTTACCGGGAGGCCATTCTCCTGGAGGCCATTCAAAGGATGTGCATATCTGTATCACCTAAAAACACGAGGAGTACATGCATCACTTTGAACTCTCATACATCACAGGCATTGTGCTGCTATTGCCGTGAAGGCTGAAACTGCAATACTTCACATACAGAATCTCACCCTGGTGTTTCTGGATATAAAATATATATCGACAAGTGTCAATGAAAAATTAACACTTTGTGGATTGACGTGAGAGTTTCTACGCATTATCCAAAATGCATTCGTTCAAACTTTTTTTCAACATCTATAAAATACAGCTTACGACCTTCAGTTTTAGAGATTTGTGACGTCATGTAAACGGTTATGGAAAGCGATATTTTACAGGCAAAACCTTTCGTAGAAGACAGGTGGGGATTGGAATGGTTTCTGGTATTTTATATCTTTCTACGAATATTATTAATAATGTTTATTCCTTTTCGGTTGTGTGGGAAGACTATTTTTGAGCAGGCACGATCAGCGAGCGTTGGTATCATGTTACTATTTGTGTCAGTCTTGAGAAGGAAATACTATGTAATAGCAAATTCGAGAGCAATAGTTGTATGTAAGAAGGGTATTTCCAATGGTGATAAATCACAGTTCCGGACAAATACCAGGGGGCACGCACGCACGCACGCGCGCACACACACACACACACACGCATGGCGCTGACACACACCCGCACTCAAACGCACGCACGCACACACACACACATACACGTATGCACGTCGCTAAATAAGCCCAATAATACTGAACGCGACATTAACCCATTTCACAATACCCCACCTGAAAATAAATTAACACCTGACACATTAGCATGTAAATGGTTAATACAAGATGACAGCCGAGAATGTCCATCCACAGTTTCAACATACATCATCATTACAAATCGTCACGATACTTGTAACATCTAAACATGGTATTTCACACCAGAGGCAGGATCGTGGGCAATGCACAAGAAAACACATCAACCCACAAGGTCTATTATTCAAAGTGGCATACATGACAACCATTCACATAAACATACATCTAGTTAGTACACGTTATGATCCCATTATAACACCACAACTACACATGTATTCAGATGGACCTTCATCCTATGAACCACATTCAAAGAAATTATCCTGAAGTACTGCACACTGTAAAATCAAACCCTACATCACATGATCTCAAGACTTCCGGTCAAGGCTACGATACAGTGGTCATCAAGAATTTATGCCGACCGATGCATGCTCTTCTCGAGGGAGGGAGAATCTACCCACAGCCACTAATTACTTCTCCATATTAGCCGAGGGCGTCTCCGTGTTCTGACCCTTGTGGAATATTCCCTCCTACATAATGGCTGAAGACACAGCGTACGTTTGTGTATGGGAGTTTAATGGTAATGACGAGCCTCGTTCAAAATGAATAATGAAACGTCGAACTCTACCACAGAACGAGACCTAAATAGGTTCAACCTGTCATGTTGTCGATGATATCAGATTGGTTTAATGTATTCCTTCATCCAGGTGGTTGTACATATGGCCATGATAATGTATGTATAGTTGGTTTCAAACGTTTCATTACACTATGCTTATTATGATAAGTTATTGGTCAAATTGAGAACGGGACAGTTCAACTGAGGGAGAATAACCAGTGCCATTGAGATGCCTTGAGATCAGATCCACGAGGCAGTCTCAGGGCTACCCTTACTAATTATAAGGTATTACAGTCCTCGCTTGTTACCTTACACAATACGCCAAGAAAGTCAACAGCACCTGGGCAAGGTAGATTTAGCAAGTGCCGAAAATGAAGACACTCTCTGGTTACCTTTCTATTATATATTAAAAGACTATTTTACAAACAGCATCTCAAAGTGTTTGTTTATCTAAATCCCACTGGAATTATATGCAGGATGGGTAAAACTGCCACGCAATCACAGCTACATACATTACTTTAGATATTTGTTCCGATTGTGTGCTGTTTCCCACATGTATCTCATCCTGATTGCAATAACAAACAATTGCTCACTGATGAAATTACAAGATGGCGCAGAAACGTCACGTGACCTTCGCTATAAGCTGTGGATGCACGGAACTGTAATAAAGCGAACGCGGAGTCAATTTACTTAATAGACATTTCTCTGAACCTGTGTGTAAATCAACAGATCTGTTAGCCTTCGATTTTCCTTAATTTCATTATATGCTTTGTTCCCCCGAACTCTCTCCCTGGTGGCGCAAAGCAGATCTACGTAATCTGGCAAACGACACTTTAGAGCCCAACAAAACCGTAACTTCAGTTGAAATTCAATTTTGAAAAAGAACTATTTCACAAAGTTGTTATATGTTCTCAGTTTATTCGCTAATTAGTAAATCTTAAGAAAACAGTATCCCTTTCCCAATACATGTCTGTCCGTTGTCAAAACGATTCCTTCTTTTTGAAGGTACATTTGTTCAGGTGTTTTGTATGTACTTGGCTGTAGCAATCGTTTCTGTTATTTGAAGGTATTCTATCTTGAAAGCCACAAAGATAGCCTTCCTAAATTTAACACATTTTATCATCCTTTCGTATCATGCATACTTTATTTAGACACAGACACAATCTTGACATAGTTCCTGCAAACACATTTATAATGGTCTCGTGTTGGTCGTTTCTCTAACCTCCTAGAACACACAGGGGATAATTTCAGCACACCCTTAGTTTTTTGTGTCTGTCATCTTTCTCGACGCAGTGAACATAAATAACAATCCTGAATAGCTGTCTTTACCAAAGTTTCAATTGTTTCATATGGTATACTTTAACAGTGAACAAAATGTCAGATCCCATGGTATAGTTCTGTGGGACGATCCAATGGTACAGAGTGTGTTATAGCTA